ACCAGACCGGGGGGGGGGGGAGAGGTAAGCAGAGGGCCAGAAGGAACCCCAGTCCTCTTTTGAGCCTTGTAGTCACTCGGATGGGGGTGGGGAGGAGGAACGCAAACCCTTGCGGGGGGTCAGGAAGAAAAGCATGTGCAAAATGAACTGCATCAACCACACACCAGGATAACCACTGGGATAAACACACAAAACGTCAACAAATAACTCCGTAAATCAAAACAGTCACGTAACCTAAGTTGGCTTTTTTATCAAAGAATACTTCAAAGTGGCTCAAAAAAAATGAAGTAAAACAGCAAAACAGAAGTACAGAAAATGTATACGAATACAACAAGCAATGGTCGTATAAAGGAAACCACCCGGATAAAAGACAAGCAAGGGGTCTAGCCGCAGGATTAAAAAAGTTAAGAGCCAGTGCAAGACTAAGAGCAAAACGGTCATGAAACTGCCCGCAGTTTTTAAACAGGAATGGCTGCATTTATATTGAAATGGCTCATTATCATAGTGTCGAGTTTTCATTTTCCATCAGATAATATCTCTTAGAATGCTTTTAGCTTGCTATGGCTTGCTACTGTTTTTGGTGTACAGTATTTATTCCAACTGATGTTCTCAGGAGTGCTTTGGGACGCAGGCCCTGGATTTGTGTCTCTGCATCAATCCAAGGACACCACCCTTTGGTCAGAGAATAAGGTACAACAGGCCCCACACTGTGCGCGCGGCTCTCCAGGACAAGAGATAGCCATTGCTTTCATCAGCTATTTTGTCTGCTATGTTTGCAACTCTGGAAGGGGGTGGGGGGAGAGTGAGAGCGAGCGAGCGCAAGAACACATTTTCTATATCTGATTTAGAGCACCTCTATCCTGCATTTCATTACAAAAATAAGAAATCTCAGAGCGGCCTACAGTAAAAACAGATGCAGTACAAGGAGTAGCTAAAAATAATGGCGTAACCAAGCAGTGCCAATAATAAAAGCAACCCCTTAAAAGCCAAGGGCTATGGATACAGTTAGGAAAGAAAAAAATAGCCACAAAATGGCTGAGTAAACAGAAAGGGCTTTAGTGGAATATGCTAACACCCACCCCTCGAAGCCCACCTAAGCTGAACAGGGAGATCTTTTCCCGTGGGGGCCACCACAACACAGAAGACTATTTTTCTGCACAGCTGAACAACTGGTGTGGCACTGTGGTGCTCTTTGCTGGGAGGGGGGACAGCAAGAGGGAAAGACTTGGGTAAGCGTTTCTGGGGGCCTTTCTCTCCAGCTTGCCTGCGATGCCCATCGGTGTGATTCCGCTTCGACCAAGCTCCACTGAGGAAGTGGATTTTCCAACCTTTCCCTTCTGCAGCTGCACTAAGCCTCTGCCCCACCCAATCAGGCTCTGCAGTGGTATTCAGCAGGGTCTACCCTGGACAGACCCTGGGGGAGCAGGACGGCTCTCCTCGCTGATCTGCCTGGCAGGGAACTGGGAGCACAGCCTCCCATGTCCTGATCCATTCAGCCTAGATGTTCTCCGTGCTAAGAGGAGATAACCCAAAATATTCGGGGGCGGCTATAAGAGCACTCACTGAATCACCAGACCCTCCCGAGAACAGGCGGATGTCACTGGCCATCTGCAATTGTGTCAGGTGGAAAGGTCCCCGCTAGTTGGTGGGGTCCCTCCCATCCCATCTCCTCCTCTCTGTGGAGGAGCCAGGAGGCCAGAGCATGGGACACACCTTGAGCAACGGGTCAGTGTGCTCCAAAAACCAGTTGACCACAGCATGTCCAGTCTCGTGGTAAGCCACAATGGTCTTCTTACTGGGCCGCAGGACTTGGCTTTTCTTCTCCAGACCTGGAAGACAGGAGGAGGAGGAGGAGGGGTGGAGGGAAGAAGGGGGAGAGTGGGGGTGGACAGAGAGAGAAGGCTTTATTGAAAGCTAAAGGAAAGACCTCTGCGATGCAGAAAATGCACAGCAGAGAGTGGGAAAACTTTGTTTATGAGAAGACCAATGCAGGGACTCTGTAAATGCAAACCGCACCCAAGGCAGATCTTGGCTTCCAAAGAGCAGCCCTGACACACTCCCCCCCCCCAATGCGCTTGAAATCTGCTTTGGCAACTGCTCAGGAGGCAGAAGCAATCCAGGGTAGGATTCCCCTGGCCTCTTCGGGAAGGAATACAGCCCTCGAGTTCCCCTACAGACAAGCAGCATGTTCCATCATCTGATGAGAACTGTGAAGCTTGCCAAGCCTCCTTCCCCTGAGGGGAAGATGTCCCATTTATTCCTCATTTCCATTCACGGATGCTTCCCTGAGCGAAGCGTCTGCAGCTGCAGAAGACGATTTACGCCACAGTCTCCCTGAGGACGACTTCCTTGTGGGTGGTATTATGGTGATCAAGGAACTGTCAAGCTCTTTTCCTCCACCCACCCACCCGCTGCCGCTCAGCCGCTCTCTGCTTGGCAAGAGAGTTTTCTACTTTTTCCGGAACAGAAAGCCATAACCGAGGCTCTCACACTGCATTAGCGAGAAAAAGCCCCAAAGCCTTCTCTAGCTTAGGATCCTTGTTCCCACAATGGCCAGGGGGGTGCTTTTGGGAAGCCCCCATGCTGGAAGAGAAGGCAACAGCAAAGGCAGGGTGCAAGTTATAACCAGAGAAGACCAGGAGAGGCCGGTTGGGTGAAAGAGGCATCAATAAACTGACATGACAATCCCAGTACAGCCAAACACTCCCAGAATTGTTCCCAGAGTTGAGAAAGCATCTCCCTCCAACTGCATTTTTCTGCATCTGGGAAAACTCTAGGAGCAGCAGCCCCTTCCTCTTAACAAGGAAAGGAAGTTTTCCAGGCTCAGCTTGTTAGACTGAAAATGTTGGGAGTTTGGTTCCAAGTAAACATGAAAGACGGCAGGGTGTGTAACAGGGCCTCCCGGCCTCTTCTCCCCCTCTGCTAGTTCCAGCTGGGCAGGCAGGAGGAAGGGGAGCTGTCTCTCACCCCCAATTACCCTCTCGATGGCCTGCTCAAAGTGTTTCTCCCCCACCGTGGGGCTGGCATGTTGGTTGACAAGCAGGGCGGCCTCGTTGCACATGTTGGCAATATCGGCACCTGCACAGAGAGGGAGAGAGAGGGAGGGAGGGAGGGAGAGAGAGTGCTGTCAACCAGATCGTCTGGCTGGTGCGGAAGCTGCGCGACTAGAATGAGCAAAGCGCAGCATTGGTTTCCTGAATGCCAGCAAAAGCTTGCCACTAAGCTGGGTGGTGTGCAAGCAACTGCATACAAACAAACAAACAAACAAAGGGGGCAGTCTGGTGCCCACTGGAGGTACCCCTTGGCCATACATACCCCTTTGGGGATGTAAGTGTTTACATTCTTTCCTCTGCCACTGACTCCCAGGGTAACCTTGGGTAAGTCAGTCTTCCAGCAAGCTGCAAAATCCATCTGGACCCGGCGCTCACCATGGAAACTCAGATGGTGTCAGTGGTCCGTTCCGACTATTTCCATCTTTGGCGGATTGCCCAGCTGCGTCCCTATCTTGATGTTGGGGCGCTCACCACTTTGGTACATTCGCTTGTAATCTTGAGATTAGACCACTATAATGCGCTCTATGTGGGGCTAGCTTTGAGGTTGAGGCAGAAGCTCCAAATGGTCCAGAATGCGGTGGCCAGACTCCTCAGTGGGGTGAGAAAATACCATCATATCTCTCCCATTCTGGCCACTTTGCATTGGCTGCCCATTCAGTTCTGCGTTAATTTCAAAGTATTAATGCTTACATAAAAAGCCCTAAACGGTTTAGGGCCTCAATATTTGGCGGAACGCCTACTCCCACCAAAATCTACCCGTATCACTCGATCTAGCCAGGGGAGGTTGAGGAGCCTAACGCTGAGGGAGGCCCGGAAGGAAAAAAAACAAGAAACTGGGCCTTCTCGGCGGTGGCTCCTCGCTTTTGGAATAAACTCCCTCCTGAGATTCGTATGGCCCCTTCGCTGGGCATTTTCAAAAGCTAATTGAAAACTTGGCTGTTTAAGCAGGCCTTCCCTCCAGCCACTATTTGATTTATATGTTTTTTTTCTCGCCATCTTGAACAACCTGGTATATATTGATGTTGTATTTAAACTGTTTTATTTTAATGTGTTGTTAGCCACCCAGAGTGGTCAAGTGATCAGATGGGTGGGATATAAATACAATAAATAAATAATTAAATAAATAAAATGGGGGCAATACTGTATTAACCTGCCCCAGAAAGGTGCAGCAATTAATGGCATAAGTTAATTAGGAACTCTTGGCCAACTGGATATACCCATATATATATATATATGCCTGCTGTCACACTGAGCCATATTTTTTAGGGAGAAGATCCAGCTAGCAATGGTGGCGCAAGCAGGCTTAAGCCCTACGTCATTGTCGTGCGCCTTCACCACGCCCACTTAACTCCAGCTACCATAGTTCTACTCCGGACGCCCCGGCGCGCTTCAATGACGTCACCGGTACCAGCCATTCCTCTCCTCCAGGGTCTCTCTCAGAGACAGGGGGGTGCGGGTTGTTCCTTTTTAATTTATAACAAATGAGATCGTTTCCTCACCTGCAGGCCCGGCGGTAGCCGCAACTCCATAAGGCGGCCGAAGGAGGTACAAGAGTCGCCGCCGCCAGCCGAGAAGCCATCCTCCCGCCCCCACTCGGACGGCGAAACTGCGCAGGCGCGGTGGCGATAAATTGTGTCGTCAGGAAAAGGGCTCGGCTGGGGCCACTTGAGCTTCTGACCGATAGTTCCGGGATTAAACTCGCCCAGCTCGTTCCCATCCGCCTTCGCCTCTCTGGATTTCATGTGTGGAAATGTATGCGTGTGTGTGTTGAATCAACGCCCAGATGTTGTGGAAGTTGCAGTTTAAAAACACAAGTCTGCACACTTCTGATTGTTTCCTGACACACAAATCCCTTGAAGCACTAGGCAAGGAAATGAATCGTGCTTAGAAACATGTTTACATGCACTTTCTTCTCACACAATGACCTGCGGGGCTTTTCTTTAAGTGCAACCAACCCAGGTGGGTGGCAAGCCTTTGGGTCTGAATCTGAGTCTTTGGTACCATTAATTGACTTATAAGTCAAGTTCAAGTCATTTGGGGGGGGGGGGAAGCTGAGTCGAGTCACCAGTGCAACTCAACAGCAAGTCCCACGACCCCATCCCTGCAACCGACCCCAGATGCTCAGAATTCGAGCCTCCAATCCTCTGGAGACTGACCATCTCTGTGGCAGAGCAAAAAGACCTCTTTGGTTGGGAGAGCACAGGGCCCTAATTCTAGTCAAAAGCAGGGCCACTGCTGTAGGACCTTGATTACCTATGCTGCAAACATTAATAAACAAGGTCCTACAGCAGGGTTCCTTTTTTTAGCTGGAACAAGGGCCCAGTGCTTTGATCAGGATTTGATCTTGGGCATATGTGTTAAGGAATTTATTTTCCATCCTGCTTATGCCTAGCCATACTTAATATAAATAATACCACTTTTTAATCAACTCACCAAATGCTTCTATGATATAAGGAACAATCTATACTCCAATGGGAACTAAAGCGTGTATTCTTTTTCTCGTCCTTCCGCAATCTACTTAAGATGAAATCAGACTTCTCACCTACTTATCCATCACTTAAGGAGCTGTTTTATGAAACAGCAGCCACATACCCCAACAGCTTTTGCAGGACGAATAAAATTCTGTTACCAGTGAAATACATTACTAGTACATTTACTAGCCTCTGAGAGGTCAACCTAGCAAACGTGAAATTGGCAGCTCTAATGACCCCTTCACTGGAAGTAGCTTAATCCAAATGGGGAGTAATGGATTTGGATCATTGGCACATATCCTGCAAGTGTGGGCACATGTATAGCTTTACCACTCAGCAACAGTCAAGGCTATGGCGAGTGTCACTTTGTCCCAATGCTCAATCCAAGTTTAACTAGGAACTGAAAATAGCAACCATGCAGAACCCACAAACACTTCACATCTACAAGTAATGTTCTGTTATTTGACCTCAAGAGATTCTATGTCATTGATCTCTGTAAGTAGCACCACCAGTTCTATTAGCCTGCTTTGTTTTGCCACAGTCATTCACGAATAGTTCCACAGGTTTGAAGCCATTCTGAGAAAGGAAAAAAGGGAGGTAATATCTAGTCATATTTTGAAGAATGCTCATTCATGGGGTTGCCATAAGTCAAGGTTGACTTGATAGTATATAACAGCAGCAGCAACAGCTAGCTAAAAGATGATAAGTGGCCAAAGCTACATGAGCAAAGGCTGAAATCAGAGCAGCACAATGAGAGTTACACACGGCTTTATTTCAAGTGATTTTAGTGCTCGTGATAAATTACTGTGGCTTAAGTGCCCTGCTTTCGCTTCCCACCAGCTGTCAGGGGTTGTTGTTCCAAATTTCACCCAGTTCTTGGATGTACCACTGCCAGGCGCCCCCCAGGCCTGGAAGGGGGGGGAAGGAGCACCCTTGGCTCATCTCTGATGCACTGCTAGGCATCCGAGTCAGAAGGAATGACTTGTAGGTGTCTGATTAGCCAACTGAAATTAAAACATCTTCCTTGCTCATTATTACCACTGTCTGGAAGGCAGGCCACTGTGGCACTCTCCAGAGTCATGTGCCAGCAGACGGGCAGTGTGAATAAACAACTGCTGAGGGAAGCCTTGGAAATCAGAGCCAGGCAGCCCTTCCTCCATAGCTGTGCTACCAAGATTAATTGCCACAATATGTGGCTGATCTCCTCATTCCCAAAAGCCCGAGTCCTGGAGGACAGCCGCCTCTTGATCTAAGCCACAGAATTCTTGCCAGGATGAGTCTTCAGTGTCCAGCCCACATGCAGCATTCTGGATGAGTTGTCCACTAAAGCTGAGCCTGGGATCAAGGATCAGCTCCTGCCCTGCTGCCTCATTTTCCAGCTCTGGGGAGCACATTCCCAGATCCACTCCTCTGAAAGGTTCCCCTCCTTGCTGGTTTTGGGCTGGCCACCTCCCAGGCGAGTACAGCTGAAGCCAGGTTCCTTGGCACGTCTTCTCCCTCTCTGACTGCAGAAAGGCACCTCTATGCCTGCAGCTCCATGCTGGGGTCCCTGAGCAGAGACTGCTTCCTCAGATTGAGCCGAGTACATTTGGGACACGTTGTGGAGTTGTCATAGTAGCAGTCCCTGCAGGAGGAAGCACAAAGTCAGATTAGTTTCGTTAAGCCCAGAGGGGGAGGAAGCAGCAGTGGCCAACAAGCTCTTCCTGGCTCATGTGCACCTCCACCTGCAGCTCTTGGGAAGGGCTTACCTGTGGAAAACGGCAGAGCAGTCCATGCACATTGACGTGTGGCTGTCGAAAGGGAATAGGACGTCCCCTTCCTTGCAGAGCTCACACACAAAGCCTTTGGCTTGGCACCGCTGTGGGAAAAGGGAAAGCCCGTGAGTCACATGCTACCACCTCCTGCCTCCAGGACCCCCACAGAGGTGGGGCACAGCGTGCTCTCAGGCATGCCACAGGGCAAGCTTCTTCCCTGCAGGATGCCTGCCACACTCTTAGAGCCACACAACAAGGAATGTGCGAGGTTACATTTCCCCCAGAAAAAGAAATGAATAAATAAATAAAAGGAGACTTTAAAGCGGCCTTGAGGTTACATTTGCCCCAGAAAAAGAAATGAATAAATAAAAGGAGACTTTAAAGCGGCCTGTATATGACTGTAGCATGATCTGCAGTAAAGGGGACAAGGGGAGGTTTGTAAGATTATGAATGAGGGAGGGATGTCCCCTTGCTTCTACTTTATACGGTACTTAAATAGTTTAGCAGAAGGAAAAGTGGGATCTGTTGATTGCTAGTAGTTATGAAAACCTAACACTCTTGCTGGATCTGACCAAAGGCTTGTTAGATCCACACCACATCCATCAATTGTGCCACTGGAAATTGCAAAAGTAACCCTCTCCTGCTTCCACCATCAGGTGTCCGTGGTTTTCAATAAAACTTTTCAAAACAATGTTGCTACTTTTCTCATTTTCATATCTCTGTCTTTCAGCCACTCATTTCCTGGTACTTATTCTTATCGTAAACTGCTTTGAGATTCATTCATTCATTATTTCAACCCATAATTGGGTCTTGTTGACTGTCGTGAAAGCAGACGGGTGGAGAAGATGCAGCTTTGATTGGATCAAGCTTCCACAGGTACTTCGGAGGTTCTCAGACAGTACAAATCCTGCACAACGGTTGTGCTTGTGGAGAGATCTCTTGACACCAGCCCCCCCCCGCCCGGTGGCTGACCTTTCCCAGGTGTTGCTTTGATTGTACAGGGCGGGCGCCTGTTCTCAACCAAGAGCAGCATCTTTTTGGCCTCACCTCACAGTCCAGTTTGATGTGCTTGGCAAAGAGGGTGTGGATCTCCGTCAGGGAGCAGCTGAGGCGCCCCGCATTGACGTCGACCAGGTCCTGCAGGGAGTACATGTCGTCGTTCTCCACAAAGTGTTGACGGTCCTGCAGCTGAGGGGAGAAGGCGGCCGCTTACTGACCCTGCACATGGATGAAAATGGGGGCGGAAGCGGGAAGAGGAGGAGGAGGAGGAAAAAGCTTGGGATCAATAAGGGATCTCCAGGGGGAGGACTTCCTGCTGCCCCATGGAATGCTGGCAGGAATGGGCACCTGTAAGAGGTCACGCCGGAGGATATGCCAGGTTCAGCAGACCTCTTCTAACATCTGTAATAGAAGCTGAACACATCAGCTCTTACTGTGTACTCCCCACTCTGGGTTGTGAGACATTTCCCCCATGGATAGAAAAACTGAACCCTAGGAACATCTGAGGAGGCAACTGTTCTCTCCTGACCTGGAGTAGCAACCGAGCCTCCATGGCCTCTTTGCAGGTGATGAAGTATGGTTTCATAAGCAGGATGTCCTGGCGCAGTTTCTGCATGGGAAGGACAGAAAAGGGAGGGAAGAACAGACAGACGGACGGATGGACAGGCTTCCTTGGAATGTTGCACCAAGCAATCTTTCCCAGGTAGCAAAGAGAGGCTCTGCCTCTCTCTGGGGTGCTAGAATACCAGTCCAGAATATGCCATAGGAAGAACCCAAATACCCTTCCCTTCACCGAGGCCTTCCAGGCTTCCTCCTACCCAACAAGGGCTCACCCGGATCTCCACCAGTTCCTCGACGTAGTTGAAGAGAAGAGGGTTAATCTCACGCAGTTTGAGTACCGGCCGCGACACCATCAGCGCAAGGTAGCGCATGCTGCACCGAGAGACCTGAAAATCACATCCACCCATTAGAACGCACAGCCGTGATGCTCTGCAACCACAGAGGGTCTGCAATGGAGTGTCCTTGTAAGAATGAGGTACGGTGGGGGTGGGAAAGAGAAGACCCAACTTGGTGTTGAGAATTCAGCAGTGGTTTGGAAACAGGACCCTGGTTTTGGTGCCTCTCCATCACCATCCACCATCATCTCCAGTCCCACTAATGGGGAGGGAACTGGCCAGAGAAAATCCCCAGAAAGGATGAGCCTCAAGGGTAGCCTGGCCTGCCGATCAGATGCTACCTAAGAGATGTGCAGGTTTGCATTTCTGGACATAGGTGTGTGGGGAAATTCTGCAAGTTGCAGATCAAAACCACGAGTTGGCTTCACTTCTGGTGCCACTGTCTGGGGAAGAATAGGTACAGCCTGGAAGAATACTGTAGCTTGAGTGGCCCCCCCCCCCCCCGCCGGCTGTCATGGGACATTGGCTGTTACAAGAAAAAAGGGTCAAGTTTCCAGGCTCCAGGAAGGAGAACTTTATGGGGGATGCACCAAAGAAACGGGACCCTCTCCTCCCTGCCGGTTTTGTAGGCACGACTCCAAGTTCTAGCAGAAGAGGAAGAAGAGCGCATTTCAAGCCATACCTTGCGCGGTTCGAAATCCCAGTTGTGGATGACTCTGGCAGGGATGACCGCTTGGTCATTCCAGTGGCAGTTGCTGCAGTAATAAAGGCCGGTGTAATCGCACTGCCGGGCTTCACTCGGAACACCCCCTGCAGAGCGGGACAGAGCACAAGGGCAGAGGTGAGCGCGGCTGACTGGACAACCCAACTGGCTGGCTTTTAGGATTCTAGAAGTGTCCGCAGGGAAGAGGCAGAGTGCTGGCCCACCCGGTATGGGGGTAAAACAGACCAGGGCGGCACGGAGCGGGATCCTCCAAGGCTTTTGCTGCAGGAAACCCTTTTAACTAGGCTTGTTGTGGATTAATGCTGGGGTTTCCAACGTCTAGTGCACAGGCTCCGCTTGGCTGCACTTCTAAGTTGTACCTTGCTGCTCCCTGACTTCTGCTTCCCAGCTTGTGGACTACAGCTCCCAAATAGCCAGGCCAGCTGGGGGAGCTTGGGAGCTGTAGTCCAGAAAAAGGCTGTTCTGCTGGCTTTTTGCAATTCTGAGCAAAACGTTTTAGCAAAGCCTCCAAAGATCTGCCATAAAAGACTAGGAGGCAGAATCTGTTTGTCTGCATCTCACTGCAGGGATGAAAATGGGGGGGGGGCACACACACAAGACTGTGCCTTGGTTATAGAAAAGCGTTTCCCGAAAAGAAGGGAAGGAGGGAGGAAAAGAGGAGCTGGGTGCAGTTCTCCTGTGAAAGCAAGGAAGCTGTTGATGTGTGTGCCAAACATGATTCCAGGACTCTTTGCTCAGAAAAAAAGAACTACTAAGAGGCCCTCCATTTCAGATCTCTTGTCTGGGGCTTAGAAAGCCATCCAAAGGGACTGGGGCATCTGCGCCTGCCATAACCGTTCCCACCATCCTCAGAAATACAAAAGACACAGAGGCCGCACAGGTAGGCCTGTTCACTCCTCCGTCCCCACCTCCCGGGATGGGTTCTCTTCCTCAGACCCAAGCCCGCCGGCACCCCTGCAGGCACGTGACCGGGACACCCCACAGACCCCTCCTGTTTCCAAAGGGGCTGCACCATCCGCACACTTACGGAGAGAGATCGGCACCCGGCACTCGGCACAGCGGTAGTCCTGGCTGTCGAGCCCCGTCTCCGGGCAAATGCTGAGCTCATACTCTGCCTGGTGGCTGACCTTGGAGCGCACGCAGGGCTTGGTGATGAGGTTCAGGCACTTGCTGTGGCAGCGGTAGGAGCAACCTGGGGAGGGAGGGAGGAAGGAAGGAAGGGAGCAGAGCCCAGGAAGGGCAGAGTCACAGGAGTGAGCCACAGCACCCAAGTCCTATCGAGGCCATAATCTGTGGCCAAAAACCCAAGCCGTCCTGCCTCCCGCCCGAGGCATCCCTTTCGAGAGAGGCCTCTAAAATTCTATTTTGTTAGGGTGTCTTTATTCTCTTTTGGCAACAGCTGGAACCAAGCCCAAGAGAAAGCAGGGGCTGCTCTGCCTCGTTCCTGGGTTTCGCCTCACCAGCAAAGCAAACTCTCTTTGGGAATGCCGGGCCGGCTGCTGCAGGGAAGCTTCTCAGAGAGCTCTGAGGGAGAAAGTAGTGGGCGGAGGCGTCATCTCCTCACCTGTGCAGGTATACCAGGTCTGGAGGAGACCCCAGATGATGGTGCTGCACTTGTCACATGTCTGCTTCACGCTCTTGCTGCTTTTCTCCTTGTAGAAGCGATGCTCCAGGATCACCCGAATGTTGGGCTCATCCTCACTGGGGTCCTGCAGCAGGCACCGGGGTGGGGGTGGGTGGGGGGGGAGGACGGGGGTTCATAAGGCCTTTGGATGTTCAACAAATGGAGGGGGGAGGCTCGGTCTCTCCCCCTCTCTCTCTCCCCTTCTGTCTCTCACACACACCTCTCTACCCCCACTCACCCACTACACAGCCTTTCCTGATGGAGGGGGGGAGGCTCGGTCTCTCCCTCCCTCCCTCTCTCCCCCTCTGTCTCTCACACACACCTCTCTATCCCCACTCACCCACTACACAGCCTTTCCTGAAATACAGGCCGAAACTGCATTACCCAAGAAGGGGAGGTATTATTTAAATCACAGGTTGTGAATCCTTAACACACCAGGAAATAGTTTGCATGATTCCTGTAATCTCTTAAAGAAATCAAGTCCAGGTCAAATTCTGAACCCTTTCCCCCTTAAAATGCACTGAGGGGGAAGGACGGACATATGGAAAGAGAAAGAGAGAGAACACGAGAAGTGCTGTTAAGGCTCTAGTCCTCAAGAGGATATCCAGTGCGCCTCTTTCTCTCCTTCTCTCTCTCTTTCTCTCTCTCAAGAGGATGCCCCCTGCGCCTCTGGAGTGAAGTGGCCAGGGAGCTGCTTCGGCCTCCCCTTTCATGCCCCACAAGTGGAAGGGGGAGCAAGACTGGCACCTTCAGCTCCTGCAGCTTGAGACGCAGGTGAATAAGCCGCACCACAGCGTCTTTTTGCTTCTCTGAGTTATCCGGAAGGTCCAGGATCCTGCGCTTGCACTCCTCAATAGCCTGGCGCAGTTGCTCAATGTCTGAGGCCACGAAGAAGCCCTGGAAAGAAAATGTGACTCTGCCACGGACCGTTCCAGCCAAAAGCATCCAAACCTCCACAGCTAAGCCGCTAAAGCCAAGAAAGTGAGGCCCCCGGGCCCGACCTTATGATGGAGACAGAGGAGCGAATGAGGGATAAGGGAGTGGATCCAGCCAGGGAGGATGGATGGATCCTGGTTTAGTCTTGTAAATGGCTGGCTTGTGGGTTTTATGAATATTTTAAATATTTGTTTCATTTGTTTAGTGCATTTATACCCTAACTTTCCATTAAAAAGTATATCACTCAAGGTGGCTTCCAGACTTCATAGAGGAATGAAAACAAATTTAAACTATAAAACCAAGTAAAACAACACCGCTGTAAAAATAAAAACCAAGTGAATACATCAACATCAACAGAGCTAAAATGAGGGCTGGTTCCAGTAAAAAAGTCACAAGTGCAAGGAACCCAGGAAGAGGGAGCTCCAGGTAAGGAATAGTATATACCAAACATAAATCTTTCACAAAGACACACATAATCACTACAATTCCAGAATATTTCTGTTAGTAATATACGTATACTCATTTACCTTGGGCACTTTTGCATCAGAGTTTTGATTATACCAAGCCGTAATTCCCTACACTTAAATTTTTGCTTCTGCTCATGAAAATAGCAGATTTTTTAAAAACATAATTTCATTAAAAATCTGTGAGATGCTACTAATGCACACATGCGTTTTCAGTAATGCATCACTGACGTGGCTCTGTGTATCAACGCAAGCACTCTACTCAATATATGTCTCCATTGTGTTTATTTTGTATCCAGCACTTTCTTTTCTGGCTCCTGGCGCTCACAGCATTTACAGTGAGAATTCCTGGCCGAGCGCTGACGGCAGCCCCAACCCCATTCGTTTCTTTACCACTGGGCGCGAGAAGTGGTCTTCTGCCAGTCCCAGATCCATCGTGCGCTCCGTGTACTGGAACACAGGCTCCTCGGGGGACAATCCCAGACTCAGGTCTACATGGAGGAAGAAGAGGGAGAGACATGGCAGACGGGCGAGAACGGAGAGGTTTCCTTCTTCCTCTCAATCTCTGCCTCTCCCATGCTTACTTGCCTGGCCCTCGTGGCAAAACAGGACACCTGACCCCCACTCGGAGGTCACCCCCAAACCAGTAGACTACTGTGTAATGGGCCATCAAATAAGAGCTGACTTACAGCGACATGTGTACGTGTGTGTATACATATATACATATACATACATCTACATACACACACACAGAAGCACCGGGATCGCTCACCTTCCCGCGGAAACTCTTCTTCGGTCCCTGCAGTCTTGGTGTCCGGGGGGCTTCGCAGCGGGGCCTTGTTGAACGGATTGAGGTGGCCCTGTCGGAAGCGGGCCAACTTCTCATCATATTCCATAGCAGTTCAACCTGTGGGAGCCACGCAAAAGGGCAGGGTGAATGGCCTGAGGTGGGTCAGGGAAACTAGACCAACGCACTCCTGGGGACACATAGGTCAGCTTGCTCGCTGCGGTCCTCAGAGTGCTTGGCCCGGGCCAAAGCCACTCAGGGTGGCGTCCATGCTTTCTGGTTTCAGCTGGACCTTCCCCGGCTTCTGGAAGCTTGTTTTGTGTCCCAGAAGGTAGAAAAGCCGGTTCTGCAACCCAGCCGGAGGTCACGTAACAGCACCTTGCAGAGTCACACAGACACCTTGTCTGGGTAGTCCCGTGTGCGTCACCAGATGTATCACCCCTTCCTGCACAATGAGGTCAGCTCTCTCTGTGTGTCTTATTTACAGCCCTGGGCCATTCATAGCTCCCTGCCCCCACCTACAAAAAACAACAATTCCAGTAGAAATGGACCATCATCATTTCTAGGTGCGAGAACGGCTTCAGAATCAAGGCTTCCAAACTTGTCTTACTGCAAGGATGGGCAACGTGTGATGCTCCAGATATCAAGACTCCAATTCCCATTACTCTGCACCAGTGGTTATGGGATTTGTGGTCTAGCAATATCTGGAGGGTCAGATGCCTAGTGTGCAGGGAGCATTTCTACAGATTTTTTTAAAAAATGACTTCAGGTCTTGTGCAGATTTTGAAAAAAAACCCAAAATAAAATATTGTCTTCTGGAAGGATGGGCAACCTGTCACGAGGCCCTTTCAGCCCCACTGCATAGCTGTGGAGGGCAACCATGGCCTAGGGGGCGGAGCACAGAAAGAGATGGGGAAGAAGGTAGCGAAAAGGGTCTGAAATTGGGGGGGGGGCATCTTGGTTCCCTGGTCCTTGGGTAGCAAAAGCAGTCAGGCAGCAGATAAAAATGGAGAGCAGGCAAACTCAATGAGAGCCATATGGAAGGGGGCCACAGACTGGAAACAATTCTTCACGCGCCACCTTATAAGGTTCGTTATACAATCCTGATTCAGGTAGTGTTTCTTTCATGTTGTGTTTATGCCTGTGGCCTAAAAAAAAGTTGAGGACGGCTGATTTAGAGGATCTTCGTTATATGGAACTCTCTCTACTAGGAACGAAGAGCCCATGTTATTTGGGGCTGGTGAAAGAACATCCTACCAGCTGCGTTTCTCTCCACTCTTTCTTTCCATATGTTCTCCAGGGAGCCCTGAAAATGACATCATCCACAGAGCCTCCTCCCTCTGCCACCGGCGCCTTCTGGAAACGGCTTTCAGGATCTACTGGAGCCCTTGATCTCCAGGCTTAACAGCTCCCAACAAATCCTCTGCTCTCATCAACACCCCACCCCCGCTAGTTCAGCTTCACTAGGATGCATGATTATTTGCATATTACATTTATTATATTATTATCTTGCCTTTCCATTTAAAAAAATACCTACAAGAAGGCAGGGGACAAGCTAGCAACAGAGTAAGTAAGACAACCATAAAAATCACCATTAAAAATCAAACTGAACAATACAATCGTTAAGCACAGTAACAACTGCTTGATAGAACCAAGTACATCTACATCAGTTTAGCCCAGCTTTCTCCCAAACTGGGGCCTTCGAATCTGATGGAGATTATGTTCCCATACATCTCAGAGGGTGCAGGATTGAAGACAGGCTGTCTTAGATCAGATGCCTATTTGGGTTTTTTTTTTCAGAAGGAAGTTTTCTAATGTTTGAAAACAATGTTTTTTAAAAAAATATCTTTTTAAGATTAAAAACGGGTAAAAACCAGTTTGACTGGAGAGAAAGTTTTCCTTTTAAAGAAGACTAACCTGGTTGCCTTGTTTCTAACATAAAGCAGAATATTTCACACACGTTCAGAACAAAAGCTGTTGGGCTACTACTGAATTAAAAAGCCAAGTTTTCTACAAAAAGCCCCTCGGCTCAGGCAGGGAGGCTGGTTTTGATGGTCGCCCCCACCATCCCCGAGTGATCTCAAAATGAGCTAGAATGCAACACCCATCCTCTCTAGCCTGCTGTGCTGGATAAAGGATGATGGGTGTTGTAGTTGTCCCATATGTCCAAAAGGAGCCAGAAAGTAGCAAACATCCTTCTTTGTGATGTGCATCCTCTCACACCACTCTAGCTGTTGGGGTTGCGTAAACACCGCAAGTGCTAATGGGAGGGGGGCACAGCGATGAAGGACGACTCAAGGGAGAAGACAGCTTAGCTGGCAGCTAGAAGAGGGTAGCTGGGGAAGGCAGGAGTGAAGCTGGGGAAAGTCAGGAAAGGTCAGGCACCCCGGGCATCGCCTGGAAACTTAGATCTCAAAGCAGAAAGATACGCCCATCACATCGGCTGTACCTCTTGATCGAAGGAACAACCCCCCCCCCAAAAGCAAGGCTGCTGCAGGTGGTTCAGTCACTTGTATGTTTATGCAAATCATAAGTTGTATGCTTTTAAATTGGTTTTTATGCCATTTGTTTAATCTAAATTGGGAAGGGGTTTCATTGAAGTCACTTTTCAATGTCTCGGGTTCATTTGCTCCATTTGTGATAACATTCAATAACAACATAAACTTTACAAGATGTGGAAACCACTGCAGAAAGTCTTGGGGGATGGTCCAGGTAGCGGAGGAAAAAGAACAACAAGGAAACCCCGATTAAAAGACCACCGCGGTGTTGAGTCTTCCCTCTCCCAAACCACTGGGGGAGGAGGGGGGGTGAAGGCAGGCGCCCAAGCCAGCGCCGGGGTTTTGGGAGAAGGCTCAGGCAAGTGAGCCAAGCTGCAGGCTCGGACCGGCTGTCCCCTTTTCCTAACCAGTCCCAGGAGGGACGAGGAGGGGAACGAGA